CCTGCACACTGATATGATTTCCAGGACCAAAGCCGCAACCAGTAAAACATAACTGATAGCCACATCCACTCCACTGTACCGATTTCCACTGCTGTTGATGCTGAGCTGAAACAACAGGAACGTGGTGGCTGTGCCAAACAGCGAAATGAAATGGATGCAGAAGCCATACCATGTGTGGATCACCGCTGCCTTGGTGTACAGGAAATCATACATCAGAGACAGCTCCATCTCGACCAACTTGTATAGATCCTCTCCCAGATAAGATATCACGGAACGCGGTTTAGATTGCGAGCGAACTGAGGGATTTGGTAGCATTATGATATCGGCGAAGACACCTTTGCAGATATCGAACTGGGAGTGGGCTCCAAGCAGCAAATCCTCTTCGCTAGTACCCAAAGCCAATAACTGATATGGGTCAGTCTTGACCTTCCAGATGCTGATGCTGCTACGGATGCTGCTGATGTTGCCACACTTGAGAGCCCATATCCTCTCACCATACTTGAGAAGGCCGGCAACAAACATGGACATGGAGGCCAGCAAAAGCAATGCCCCGCTGCTGGCGATGTACTCGTATATCACATAAGCAGCTCCTAGGACCTGCACAGCGAGAGTTTGCAGGTGTCGTAGCCAGAGCGCGTTGTCCTCGAGCGCATACGCTGTGATGTTGTCTGGTCCGCCAAGGTGCAGCAGTAGGAACGGTGCCCAGAACGCCACCAGCTGGTGCTCATCTGACCTACTGTCCACAGATAGGTGGCCCAGGGTGTATATCGCTGTGGAATCGGCCAGCAGGTACGCCGACCAGAGGAAGAACATCAGGGCGGCGGAGTTGCTATGCCGGCGGACTCCTCCGAAAACGAGGAGGAATACTTGTAACCCAAAGCTTACAAGGACCAGGATTTGTATTCCCCATTCATTCCACAGGTTCACTAGCTTTCCAGCCTCAATTACTTCGCTCCTCATCATGTCTACATACAGTAATAACATGGCAAAGAAACAACAATATTAGCAACTAGATGTTTGTATATGTGTTGTGTGCATGGAATGTATGCAAAGGACCGAATGGGTAACAGAATGGACCATGTATATGATCATAAGACAGTAATAATGGATGCTGATATCCGTTGCATGAGAAATGAGCTGAGAAGATTAGCTCAAGGCATCATAATCTAACTGGCAATAATATACAGAAGGACAGGAATGGCAACAAAAAAAAAAAAAAAAAAAAAGAAAAGAGAGGAGCAAAGAACATAGGTGATTACTTGCGTGGGAGTTAAATTGACGGACTTTCTGACAAGAAGGTTTCGTTCAGCTGCAGCTAAGATGAGGGCCATGGCTTCAACCTCCTTTGGTTCGACTTCGACAGGTGAAGGCGAGCTTGCCATGGAAGCAGTGGTTCCATATCGTATCAGTCAGCTCTGTACAGTTGATATGGCTCCATTATATACTTGTGCCCGTGGACACAGATGCAAAGCAGAGTATAAACGAAGAAGAGTTTTCTCTCTCTTTAAACAGTTGAATTACTCCATAGGAATGAAGCATGACGTGCAATGCTTTCCTAAGGATTAGCACATGATGATGATGCAGGAAAACGAAAAGGGTTGCACGGAATGGATGTGTGCGCCCATTGAACTGCTAAAAAGTTAGTACTTGTGCCACCTGAATCGATCCAAGCATGAACAAATCACAGCAGTAAACTCATTTTGATGCACCAATTGGTCTGCAATGTACACCGAGTAATTGAGTAAAGCAAGCAAAAGTTTGTGGCGTGGCGTGACGCCATGTCAGGTCATGTATATACTCATCAATCAGTATGTACAACCCACAATGACATTAATTAGCAATCCATTTCACCATGCGTCCATGAAGGAACCAGAGGAATTGAATCTGTTAATCCAACTCGGGTGGATGGATGCTTACTTCTTGTTGTTGGGACGTTGGCCAGAGACTTAGAGGAGGGATGCCACTTCGGAAGGCGTCCCGGGTGATTGCCCTCGCGTCGGACGAGGACGAGAGGGCTCGGTCGGTGGACGGCCTGGGCACCAGGCCTGATCTGCGGCGCCGCCCCCGATGCGGCACCGGCACAGGCAGCGGACTGAGGAATGGGAGAGGAGGCCTGGGATGGGATGGTGGAACCGTGGAAGTGGAGGCGGCGGGCGACAGGAGCAGAGGTGGCGGCGAGAAACGAGGAAGGTGGAGGTGGCAGCCGCACGCGCACAGCGGAAACGCAAACGCCCTTCTTTTTCAATTATTATTATTCCCTCAGTTTTCAATTTCTTTTCATTTTTGCTATTCTACTTTGTAAAAAATATTAAAGTCATCTCCTGTACTTACTGTACTATTATTCGCCACGTGGTTCTCCCTTTGCCTAGCATTTTATCGACAAACTAGGACCTCCTCCTTCGTTGGCCTCTAGGAATCATAGGATTATAGAAACGTAAGAATAGAAAAAAAAGTATAAAAGAATAAAATATTATAACATCATGAATCATGTGGACTGAGAAAAGATAGGAAATAATAAAGGGCTTGTTCGGCCGGTCGTTAAGCCCACCAAAACCGGCTGATTTAATAGTGTTCTGTGAGAAAGAATAAGTTAAAATAGATTGATTTGGCTAAAAAATAGTTCAAACGAACAAGCCCAAAGATCCCTTTAGAACGTAGAAATTTTACATGAATCAATGAAATTTCTCAGAAAAAACATAAGAAACATGCCATATAAAAGTTGGTAATTACATCCAAGCCATCAAATAGTTGAGTTCTCACATATACCATTGCTCTGAACTCTTTTGTCCTCAACGCCACTTTCCGTCAGATTTTGCTCTAATGATGTCAAACGCGTTGTGAAAAGTCAAAAATACCCTCATGTCTGAATATACAATTAATTCTTTTGAGCATCTTAATGATCTCAAATGAAAAACTTAAAATTAGAAAGTTGTAGATCTCGTCAAGATCTACGATATGTATATAAAAGTTATCTTCATTTGATTTCGTATAAAAAAAATGATTTTTCTAAGATATAATAATCATATCAAATCATATCTTTTTTATATGAAATTAAATGAGGATAATTTTATACAAAAATTGTAGATATTGTTGAGATCTATAACTTTCTAATTTTGAGTTTTTTCATTTGAGGTCATTAAGATGGTAAAAAAATCAATTGTATATTCAGACCTGAGGATATTTTTTACTTTTCACACCCAAGGTTTGACACCGTTAGAGCCAAATCTGACGGAAATGACGTGAAAGGCAAAAGAGTTCAGAGCAGTGGCACCTATGAGAACTCAACTTTTTAATAGCTTGTGTGTAATTACCAACTTTTATAATGGCACACGGATAAAAGCCTAAAAAATTGAATGTTTGGATGGAGCGAAAGAAAAATATAGGAGTTCCATCAGAGTGAGTGACAAAAAAAAAACTTCCCATGAGTTTCAACCTCTTAGTAGAATTTCTCTAAAATTATCCAGAGGATCTGTATGAGCCCGATCTTTTGTTCCAAAGGGCTTTATAGGAAGTTTTTCTATAGAATTTCAATCCTTTAGAATTTCTCTATTTTTCCTTTGTTCGAAAAAGACCTTACTTTTTTTTCCTAGGTGAGGCAAATTAGTTCACACCAAGAGATGTAAAATAGTGCATTGGTTTTACTTTGCATTCATCAAAAGTAATCTCTTTGTGTGGAAAAGAATACAATTCCAGCATAATATTGAGTCAAAACGTCTCAAATTTAAACAAATTTATACAAAAATGTATCAATATTTATGATACCAGATAAGTATCATTGGATTCAACATGTAATATATTTTCAAGATATATCTATTTGGTGTCATAAATATTGATATTTTTCCTCTAATTCTGATCAAACTTTGGATACTTTAACTAAGAACAGAACTAGAATTACACCTCTTTCAAGATGGAGAAATTAGTTCAAGAATAACTTATGCATTTTCTCCTAACAAAATACGTGATAAGTCAATTTCGCAAACTAAAGGAATGATATCTACTTGGAACTATAAACCTTGCGACGAACACAAGAAATAAACATTTAATCTCTTTGACTTTGCTGCAGCGACATATATCAATCAGTGAGGTGAGCCTTTAGGAAAATGGAACCGATAGTTGCCTCGTTCGCTTGTCTTAAAATCTTGTTCGGCAAATTTAACATGTATTTTTTTCTGGTGGAAGTGGAGGTGGCACCAGCTAGCCGCAGAGCCAGTCTCGTGGCCATCAATGGTGGAAGTGGAGGTGGCACCAGCTAGCCGCCGCAGTATGCTCTGTGGAATGGGGTGGTGGCCACGCCGCCCGTACGAATCCAGAGTTGGTAGCTAAGCCGGGACAAGTGGCTGGTTCGCATTTGGACAAGCCCATCACCCCACGATTTTAGCCCCGTTCGCTTTCGGAAAAAAACAAAACTAAAATACTTTAACTTTGTTGGGGAAAAAAACCGGTTCCGAAAACAGCCCTTATAAGAGAAACGAACATGTCCTTTAACCGTGCCCTTCCGGCCTTCCGTAGGCAGTGTGATATGTTCGCTGGTCTGGTTCCAATGAACCAGCCGGGCTGGTTCTCCTCTGGAGATTCAGCCAGCCAGCAATTCTTCTTCTGATGTTTTTCTCTCACAACAAAAACCAACCTAACAAGGAGGATCAGGATCAACATTTTTTTTATAATTTAAAAAAGATAGAGAGCAGGTAGGAAGAAAGGTCACAACAAACATTCACGCCTACCATGTATTATAAATAAATAAATAAAACATTCACGCCTTGTCGAATCCACACGTCAGCTTGTGCATTGAGCTCTAAATATCCATACCAAATACACATTGAGCTCTAACTACATCAGGCTTATTACAGCAGATGTGATCTGCGGCCATCCCCATCATGGTGACTATGACAGTATTTGTACTACAGACAACTTGAGAAGATGAAACTCTTCTCAGCCACTCTCACCCACCCTTCCTCACACCCATGCCATCACAGGACACCGGAATTATGTACAACGACGTTTCAGGCCTTCAAAATGTCATAAAACGCAGAGGGCCGCTTCCGTTTCTTCAGACACAGCTCCTGCAAGCAGAGGGAACTATTTTTCATTCACATGTTTAATTATTATTAATTCCCCAGAGTTCTACAAGCACAAGATACTCCAGAGTAAAAGCTTCCGCAAAAAACATGCTTATTCCCTTACCAATTAAATCTAAATTTCCCTTTTCATAAACAAGTTGTGTAGCTTTTTTTTATTTACACTGTAATACTAAATACTTCTCTACCTTATAAATCAACTTTTTCATGTTACCATGTACTCCGTATGTACCCAAGGTATAGAACAGGTCATTTGGTGCTCTTCAAGCAGCGTTAAAAGACAAGTGGCAGCAAGCAAACTTAAACTTAGTGGATGTGGATATGACCAGATTCTCTGCTGCAACCACAACTACGGAAAGCAAACGATTTGCAAGTTGCAACCACAACTACGGAAAGCAAACTTAAACTTAGTGGACATGACTATATGACCAGTACCTCCACTGCAGAAGCCACCCTCAATAAGCTTGCCTCACCCCATGGACGGCCTATCAGTTGCAGACCTATAGGAAGGCCCTGCTTGTCATGACCAACCTGACAGGAGAGCGACATGTCACCAAAGTATAACTTTTGTGCCTCTGATCCATATTAAGCCAAACTCATCGATTTTCTTATACAAGTTCCCAAGTTGTCTATCAGAAACAATGGCAATGCTATTGACATCAATAATACAAAAGGTTTCAGTATATATATATCGAGTGGTAATATTATGGTCAGGCTCCGGTATATATAGACCACAACAGGTAACTAGAAGATGAAACAAGTATTTGTATGATACATTGATACCACTTACAGGCACAGTTATTGCTGGGAGACCAAGAAGGTTCCCTGCTATGATGAATCGCATCAAGTAAGCTGCAAGCAAGAGCAATGTTAGAAAAGGCGTGTGTTGTCATCTCTGTAGAACAAACAACCATACTTACACTGAGTATCAAATAGGTTATATCAAACCAAAAAACAACATACAATTTTCTTAGTAAACCACCTAAAAATAATACAGATTGTGAACAAATCTTCCCAGTTCCCAGTCTAATAAGCATGATTTGCTACACACAATGAAATTAATGAAACCACCCAAGTTCTGTTCTCTTCAAACTTAATGGTTTATCGAGCAAGCAAAAAAAGGAACCATTTTGTGTTCTTTTGTACCAGCTTGCTTGATTAGTTGGTTGTAAAAAACAACAACACACACTACCTGCCAAACAACACATATCTTACATCTGGTTTTCAGCATCTTTTCGTCAAACATAATAGCATTGTGAAACCACTAAAATTCATATAAACTCTTTTTTGACAAATTAAAGATCTAATTAAGATGCCTAAATTACAGTATCCTGCTCACAGTTTACCTGACACAACATAATTTGACTCTCCTGACTTCAGAGCACTTGGAGGTATTTTTGGAGCAGTAATGCTGGAAAACAGCACAGTTGCTTAGTTATTACAGCAATACAAAGCTTCTTGATGTAGAATAACCATGCATAATTTGAGGTGCACCGTGCACCATCGTTTTAGGGAACATAGATATATACTTGTAGATCACATATGTCACTTATTCCTGTCTATTTGAAAAGCATATTGACAAAGATCAGTTCAGGGATATTGTCTAGAATTATGTGCTTCACTTAGGCTACAACTACATATCTAACTATTTCTATGCCACTGACAGTGGCGGAAATTAACTAAAGGAACAAAGAGGGAAGGCAGAGGGGCGCAGTCTATATAATTGAGCATTAACCACCTACAAATAGTACCAAAGTTACTGTTTAGATAAGATAGTGGAGAACACATTGGGCAGGAGGGACATGGGCCAGCTTGGTCTAACCAAGCTCCACCCGTGCACACTGATGTATTTCCTGATAAGATATAACTCCAAAGATCTCTTTTACATTATAATCCATTGCTGAGAGATCAAACTTCCTCAGGTTTGACTACTAGACTCGACTAGGGGGAGAGACGTCCCCCTGATTTTCGTCTTAAGAAGATGGTGCCGTGACTCGAACCCGGGCTGGCTCAGCAAACCGCTTCTTTGGCGTGTTGTGCTGACCAGTTGCACCGTGAGAGTGTTGGCCAGGTTTGACTACTAATATATATAAAAAAAACATTATATAGATTTGTCATGTGAAAAATAGCATTAGATTTTTTTAGGGTACTTCGAGAAACTTTTAAAATGTAAAATTTTTCATGTGATAAAAAAACTTCTGCATTTATTACCCAGTTGTAGGAGTTGCTATGACATCAACCTTCTTGAAAGCTTCCATGTGATAATGCATTATCCTCCTCCTATATAAGCCCCATCAAAGGTACATTAAGCACATGTTTAGCACAATATAGGAAAAAGAAACAAACAGTTATTACGATAGTAGGTCATTAACAGATACTTGAAAGTTTAGGTTCAATTGCACAAATCAAGATAAGCTTAAAACGTAAATTGAATTCATAACCTCTAAGCATGCTCATGTTCACCTTATACTTTGAGAAGCCACATAATCAGTTGCAGTGAACGACCCAAAAAGTGCCAAACTTGTTCGAGTATCCAGCGTAAACTCAGTTTTCCTTCTGGAAGAGACAAGGAGAATGAGAACAATAGTACAGCACAGAAAATATTTTGCTTAAGATAGCCCATTCTAACAAATAACTTAAATTTTCAGCATGTTGCAGACCAATAATTTCATGAAGTGTTTCCCCTTGGAAGGAAATGCCATAACTACACTGGGGATAACATTATGGAAATGGTATCCATCAAACAGATAGGTACCCTGCTTTGTAATGAGGATTCAGGTCACAGAATGACTCTGAGCCAATTGAGACAACATGGGCAGTACGCATCTCTTCAAGCTCTGGTAATGTTATCTCTTCTATCTTCAAAGAAGCAAATCAGGACTTGTTAGTTGAGATGTTAGAAGAGATGAATGTGCATATACAATAGATACCATGTGGTCAGCTCAATATCAGTTATGAATTAGAGGAACTGCAAACACAATGAACATATAGTCATAGCCACTAGGTTGAAGTTGATGGCATTGATTTATCTAAACATAACTTACTTATATACATCAAAAGCCACATCATAACACAGATGCTTCTATTCTGAGAAGAGTTTGTCCATCTTAAGTCTAACTGATTTTTTTATATATATATAAGAAGGCAAATGATCTATTGTAACTTCTATATCTATAACTAAGAAACATTAATCCTGCATTGTTACGTCTAAGTCATTGAGATAGAATGGGCTTACTTGACATCCGAAAGCGCTGCAGAGAAGTTTAAGTGCATTGTCACATGTACTCGATATCTCATGATCAGAAACATCATTAAACCACTACAAAAGCAAATTTCTTTTGAGAATAGGTAGGGACATACCAAACTAACGTTTGAAGTGAACAAACATACCTCTGTATATTTTCCTATTTTAACTGATCCCAGGATATTGCTGTTTTCTGGAGACAATAAATTTGGGACACATAGTGGCGACTGCAAAGAGGAAAGAAACAGAAATGCAGATGCTGTGAGCTCAATCAAATGTGCTATATTCAGCAAAAAAAATGTTATTTAGTTATAAGTCATGCTGGATTTCTGGGGAACAATAGAGAAGGTTATCTAGCAAAAAAAAATGTTATCTAGCAAAAAAAGAAGCTATCTAGCTATGGAAAACAACAAAAAATTTCAATCTGATATCATTTCAAAGGCAACTGCCTAAGGCTGATTGGTATAATCTGACAGCATACACGGCACATGAAAGGCATACCAGCATTCTTGATATTTAAAAGGCAGGAAATATTAGAATGTATTCCCTTTGTTCCAAATTATAAGACGTTTTGGCTTTTCTAGATACATAGCTTTTGTATATGCACTTAGATATAAGTATATAACACTACGTCTAGATACATAATAAAAGCAATGTATCTAGAAAAGCTAAAACGTCTTATAATTTGAAAAGGAGGGAGTAATATCTTACTGGTCTAAGGGTAAGCTTATCCATAGGTCTTGAGCCTGCTATTGCAGAATACCTGAAATTCCATATAATACAGTTAACAAATATCCAGTTTTATCAACAGGATAATCAAACATTACCCAGTATCACAAAAAGAAGCATTGGCAAAACTTCTAAGTTTCTCAATGAGACACCTAAACTTAACAGGCTTATGCAGGGGATCTCATGGTATCATATAGCACACCAAGTAGCTTACACTAGTATAGCATCCTCAACTGATGATACAAGAGGAGAAGCAACTTCAACAGTCCCAGAGTCACAAAGTACCCTGCAAACAAGATATATAATCATACAACAAGAAATTGCAAGACTTTGAAGGATTTTTAATGAGATTCAGTATAAGATAATTGCATGTAGCAACTAAATAGTCTAACTTGGTTGATTTTTGGACAATACCATGCAAAATAAAACAATAAGCTGTTTCAGACCACAGTGGATGCTAGCTTGTGACTAGGGCAGCTTATTTTAGTAATCTTGGAAGGTAGTCCAATGCATATATAACAAATATGACAGATAAAAGAATAACTCTTGTAAATAATCAATTCAATAGAACTTGTTTTTATTACCCAGTCATATCTGTCCTCCCATATGTTGTCTTGAAACCAACAATACCACAAAGTGCAGATGGAATTCTAACTGAACCTGTTGTAGGTAAAAGGTACCAATCAGAGACAGACTACAGATAAGAATCTGTGACAATTAATATTGGGCTTCTATATGTACAAACCTCCACCATCTGTTCCAATTGCTGCTGAGCATAATCCTGATGATACTAATGCAGCAGGACCAGATGAAGAACCACCAGTATATCTATCAACCGAATGTGGATTTCTTGCTGTCCTGCAAGAGAAGTTAAGGAAAAGTGAAGATTAAGTGACAAACATAACAGAAGAAGAACTGAAGAACAAAACGGCAGATGAAAATATCTGATCATTCTGATAAATGGCAAATTGTGGATTGCCCTTTTTCTTTTGTGACTTTATAGAGTAAGGTTCTTCAATCGATGACAGTGCTGAATATCATGTATATGTGCATTCCAGAATTCTGATTTTAACTAAGCTCTACTCGAGGTCATGGAGTTTGCATCCAGGATGTAGTAAGGAAACATTTTTTGAGCAATTTTTAAGAAAAGTGAGATAATATAGGAAAATATGTCAAATTCTCTTGTATTCTGAATGTCTAGAAAAAAAGGAAGAATATTTATTTTATCCATGTATAACTTGACAAAGTGGCCATATATGAATATATCCTTTGGCCTCTACTAGAAAAACAACTACATTGTACATAAGGGTGAACATTTTTAACAGACTGAGCAGTTGTGCAACAATTGATCATACCCATAATTTGGATTGTTTCCAGTTACTCCAAGGCCTAGTTCATGCATGTTTGCTTTACCGATAAAGATGACTCCACATTTCCGCAACCGAGCCACACAGACTGCATCTTTCTCCACAGTGTGGATTTGGTCAAAGAATGTTGTAGCACCTGCCATCCAATGAAAACATGATATGGATTGTACTTCTTGAACAGTGACACAGAAAAATATGGAAGCTGTCAATTAAACTAACCCTTTGTTGGATACGGGAAGCAGTCAATGTCATCCTTAATGGCAACAAAGACCCCATCTAAAATGGATATCGGATTTCCTGGGCAAAAGTAGCAACACATATCAGATGCGATTTTAAAAATGGAATTTCTACTTGAAGCCATTTGAATTCAAAGAAAAGAAGATCTGTACAATCATAAAGTGTCAACTATTAACAAATAGGAACATGGGTGGTTAAGTTGTGGCCAACCTTGCTGAAATCTCTTTGTGGAAGCCTCAGCTTGCTTCTTGAGATCATCTGCATTAAAATAGATCAACATTGGCATTGGGGGCTTCTTGTTGTTCCACTCTTCGACGCCTGCAATAACATACTCGGCAACCTATCCCATGGATGAGAGTTGAAACATCAAATTAAGATGTGGGAGGGCAAGTAAGCAACATTCTGTCCAATGATCCACTTACAGCTGAAGGAGTCGTGATCCCCGAGCGGTATGCATGTGCAAAGTCACGGATCTTCCAGTAAAGGAAAGGGGGATTCTCCTCGGTTGTCCAACGAATTGACGGATCATACTGCGGAAGGCACTGTAGTGCTTCATGGACTCTTTCCACCAGGTCCCTATCTTCATCTACAAGCACAACTTCTGGCTCTGGGTCTGAATAATTGGGGACAGCAACACAGAATTGACAATACACAGTGAGTAAGATGACACTTGTAGGAATAGACCAACCCAGAAATTGTGGCAAAAGCTGCATTATCGAAATGATCATCCAGGGGATTTGGAGCATCGGATTACATGGAAGAAGGAAGTGTTCAATGGAGTAGAGCGGTTTTTAGAAATATTGCAGATTTAGTATCCAGGGGTATGGCGGGGTGCCTCCATTACTGAATTTATCATGTTGCAATATTTCAAAAATTCGTAAAAAAAAATCATGTATGTAGTACACAAAAAAGTTAATCATAGCTTCTGCAACAAAGAAGTTTCGGATTAGTCCAAGATGTCAAGAAACAAATAGACAAGAAGTGAATCTGGCAATGTTTTTATCATGTAATGACAGTAACACTTGTGTTTTTTGAATCTCAACATCAAGGATGTATTTGAGATTGGTCTTTTGTAGGCTTACTTACCTTATATGTACTACATAAATGATTTTTGTGAGTGATTTTTGAAACTTTGCAGCATTTTGGGTTAACTGTATTTTGGCTGACGGGGATGCCCGAACCCCAGGACACCAATGAATTATAGTTTTGGATAAAAAGTAGAACTTTCGTATAGGAATTATCATGATTATCCATACAGCAGAAGCTAACCCCTATAAATCTGCTAAAGCAGTATTATAAAGCTTTTTTAGTAATATTCTGCTTTTGTGTAAATCTGAACTTTGCTTAGCAGATCAACATATACCATTAGGATTGTCTCGTGCTGCTACCGATGAAAGAAAATAAGTTAAATGTCATCAGTTTCAACATCAGGTAGCTGTGTTCAGCTAATTTCATGCGCTTCATAAGTGAGGTTTTAAGGTTCTGTTCTAAATGCCTAAACCTCTTGGCGTGGACCAAGGGAAGTAGCCTTGCTTTACTGATGGTTTATGTCAAAATGGTGGGGGTTTGGTTAGATGCTCAGAATGCAGTACTAGTATGTGCAAGTTTTTTTTTTAAATGTATTATGTGTAAGTCAAGTTAATCATGTGAGAAGAAATGTAAAGTCAACCGTCAATCTGAGCAGGCGTGAACCAACAGTGGAAGAAAAAACATGCAGCAGGAAACGAAATCGAGAATCCTAATCCTACCCTGCGGTGGGAACTCCGGGTAGTACATGGGGCGCTCGGGGATCACCGTCTGCTGCAGCATCTGAATGAATCATAGAGAGGAGGCACGGCAGACAAAGAATTATTACGAGGAATGAAAATGAATGGGGGTGAGTCGACGAGGCGAGCAAGGGGATAAGGAGGGGACGGGGGAACCTGCCTGCGGCATGTTGTTCTGCGACTTGAGGACGGAGGTGATGAGTGGTCCGAGCAGGGACGACTCCATGAGCCAGAGGAAGGCCCTGAGGGAGAAGCCGGTGAGGTGCGGCGCCTGCAGCGTGGGCGGCTTGTACCTGACGGCGGCGATGTCCACCTCCTCCACCGGCGGCATGGCGCGCGGGGCGGACCCCGACCCCCTCCCCGTGGAATTCGATCCGCCCATACCGATGCCGCTGTAGCAGCAGAGCAGACGCAGGACAGCAGGAAGGGAAGAATGAAGAAGAATGAATGGGGGTTGATTTTAATGCGTTGGTGGGCGGAGTCGACAAGGCTGGCAGAGCAGGGCAGGGATGCAATGCCAGAGCAAGACGACGATGGCGTGGCGGGTACACCTCACATAAATCCAGTCGTACCTGCCGAGCCGACCCTACCAAGAAGACCATTGCAAGAGATTGATGGCGACCCGATTGGGATTTGGGATGGATCGTCATCGTCTCGTTCGTCAAACTCTGCCGCAACCGTGTTTCGCCGCAAGCAACATTTTATTTATAAATAAACAAAAAAAAAGTGCATTATTTGCCGGTTCAAGGCCTTGATTAGATTGAAAAAAATTTCAACCCGATAAATAGTAGCACTTTCGTCTTATTTGGTAAATATTATCTAATCAACATTTTTTCCATTTATTAAATAAACCAAAAAAAAAAATTGATGTGATGGATTATTTGCCGATGATTCAAAAATATCGCACAACAGTTGTTGATATCGACATTTTGATTGACCTTGTCAAAAGGACTGAAACAAGTCAGCAACATCTTAACTAGCGAAATGAAAAAGACAAACCACGTCACAGTGTACGTAAAATTGTTGACAACGGGTTAAACCAATTCCCTTACAAATTTACGTCAATGCTTATATCTTTTTAATCTGTTGCAATATGCCATATATTGTTTGTTATACAAAGAGAGCTTGTTTGGACTGAGGCCTAGCTGCTGGGCAATAAATAAATCCTTGCTCCATGCACCCAAAATGAGTACTACAATGTCTATTAAGCCTGCAGCTTTTTTAAGCTTCTAACCATATACAGGTCCTGAATGAGTATAATATTTCTAATGGCTTTATAGTATGTAGCTCTCTCTCTCTCTCTTCCTGCTTTCTATGCATTTCACAAATATTTTGAAGCATCCAAAAATTAGGTTTTGCTCTCTAAAGATGAGGAAAAGTTCCACAAAAATTCCCAAAAAGATTAGATGATGTCTAAACGTATGTTTAAACTTTCACATGCATAAACATCAAACATAACCAACTAGAAAGCAACACATCAACAAAACTATGTAAAACTAATTTTAAAAACCTTAGAAATTTCTTATATTTTCTCTAAACTAAATTGACAACCATTTAAATAAATATTGTAATATTTTTTTTAAAAAAAATGAAATCATAACTACACTACTACGGTCTTTTAATGTAATGCATCTATAGAGAGTTACTCTTCCACCTCTACAAATCATTCGTAGAAACGTACGTTGAGCTGTCTCTAGTAAATGGATTTGTAGAGGCGACTAGGCTCCAAAGTAGTGTTGGATATCAAGCCACGTTAGGCTAACAAGACAGCTCGGCTCAACTCGTTTAGCTCGCGAGCTACTTAAAAAAATAGAACACAAATGTTTATGCTACATTAATTTCAGAAGGTGACGTCCACCATTATGCAAACATACATGATTAATACATATCAGGTTCATCAAAAGTATCAACCATGCAACATAGCTAGTCAATCCATGATCATATAGTTCCACCATACTAACTAGTTGCTTACCACCATAAACTTAGAAAAGTTCACAGATTCAATGTCAGCATCATCCTCTTCTCCCTGAAAAACAATCCATAAAATCAACATTTAAGTACCACAATAATTATAAAATCAAAATTCATATGAAACAGCTGAAAATAAGGATTACATATCAATAGAATAGGTGTACACTTTTAGGTCAGCATCATCATCTTCTGGATTTATAGTCACGGGCTAACAGGCCTCAGCTCTCAGCTCGTGGGCAGCTAGTGTGCTGGCTCGAGCTGGCTCGTTAAAATAGCGAGCTAGACTTCCAGCTCAACTCGTGAAAAAGTTAAAACGAGCCGAGCTGAGCTGAGCCGGCCACGAGTCGAGCGAGTTGGCGAGGCGCGAGTATTTTGTCCGGCTCTACTCCAAAGCCACCACTACAAATAATATTTACAGCGCCTCTATTGTTTAATTTTTAATAGATTCATTCGAGATGGACACCGTTCTAGAAATATATACCATTTGAGATATACACATAGATAAAAACATAAAGCATTCTAGGAACATATATACATAGATAAACAAATAAAACCGTTCATAGATGGCATGACTACCATCTACAAGTTCTAGATAAACAATTAATAATAGACTCTTTCCAACAAGAAAAGGAGTAGAAGAAATCTTAATTTTAGTCCGTTTGAACATGTGTTATTACTAAATTCTTTGGTTTTGTCACAAATATATATATATATATATATATATATATGCGGGAGCTCTATCACAACTATATATATGTGGAAACTCTGTATTGTATATGTTGTAATATCAATTTCAGAGAATGAAGAATAGTTTGCCTACTTTGTGCCTTAATGTTTTTCTATTTTCATCATTGTGTTGATCTTGAGAGATGGGAAGGAAAAAATCCTAATCGGCACACCTACATTAGTGTCATCCTCGCTTAACCTTTTGGTGTGGACATAACCTATCTCAATCACAACAATTAGGGTAGAGGTCAGTCCATTGGTTGTCTTAATTACCAAAATGAAATGTAGGGCTTTCACTTTAGCTAGCTGGTCTTTAACTTCCTCTCTTTTTTCGGTCCATCCATGTTTTCATGTGCATGTTGCTTTACTTGTGCAGCATGACAACGACGATGCTTATGATGGAGCTCCGATGTGACTGACATGTCCATGCGAGGCAACATACGGACAGAGGCGATTGCATTTCGGTGATGCTCCACGTGGACATAAGGGCCATGTTCGCTGGTTTGGTCTGGTTGGTGGTGATTGGTTTTTTAAGAAAAACACTATTGGCTGGTTGAATAAGTCTGACTAAAACCAATAAGCTAACAGGGTAAAGAACACGCGCCATATGTCTACTGTTTATTCCTTAGTTATTTGGTGGATTATATGACTGCCTTGTTTGTTTTCTAAAATTTGGCTTATGCTGATTTGTTGTGAGAGAAAAATATTATTCGTTCGCTGAAAAGTACTCTTGTGTATATATTTGTGCTAAAAGACAGAGCTCTATTCTCATCCGACCCATGCTCACTATCCTTGCATAGTTTGGTTTTCGCAGTTTCCATGTAAGATTCAATTTGATTTCTATTTTGATCTTGATTCCTGATTTCTGATGGAAGACGGAAGAAATACTAACATGTGATGGTGCCCATATGGCCTCCTTGCATAGTTTGGTTTTCGCAGTTTCGATGTAAGATTCAATTTGGTTTCTATTTTGATCTTGATTCGTGATTTCTGATGGAAGACGGAAGAAATACTAACATGTGATGGTGCCCATATAAAATAAACAGAGGAGCTGTCGGGCTGAATCTCAAGGAGGATGCGTGCGAACTATGCACGGAGCATCAGGGTGAGCGGGGCAGTTGTGCTGAGAGATGGCCTAGACGAAAAAATAAAGAAAATTTTTGACTCTTTAATATTAGATATAAATATAGTTGGGCTGAGAGATGGGCTAGACGAAAAAATAAAACATAAATTTTGGCTTCTTAATATTAAATATAAAGGTAAAGATATAGATTATTTTGCATGCATATATATATATATTTAGCAGAATAGGAAATTAGACCAAGCATTACCCATGAACAACCATGCTAGCGCTCGAACGTCTGGATGAACACTCGCTCGGACGTCTGGAAGGACACGCGCGTTCGGACGCCCGCATGCTGCTGCGCCCCGCGCCTACTCTACTGCTGCGCTCCGTGCCTGCCCACGCCTAGGACCGAGATTGTCGACAAAAGATGCTCGGCAGTCTATCGAGGGGTATCCCGCGATGGTAGATTTATCGGTGGATGTGTGCGTGATCAGGAACTGGATGGTGACACAAGGCACAGAGACAGCGATTTAGACGGTTCGGGCCGTCTGATCGACGTAATACCCTACGTCCTGTGTCTTAGATGTATTATATTGAATATGAGATGTATGGATCGTGTCCACTAGGGGACCTCTGCCTCTCCTTATATACTCTAGAGGGGTAGGGTTACCAGGAAAATATCCTATTTGGTACTATACAATATCTTACGGTGCACGCCGAGCATCGCCGTGCACGCCTTGATCTTGTGGGCTGGGCCACCTCTGATGGTGCGGCCCATGTCTTATCTTGTAGATACCGGGGGCCGTACCCCCTACAGAGATACTGCTCTTCCTGTTTACATCTGCACTAATTATAGCATATGCGTGGGACCCGTCTAGCTACATGCGAGAGGAAAGAGGGGAGCACAGGTACCTATGTGTTGACTTGGCTACATGCTGCATCGTGAGGGGCCCGCCTGGTGGTGCAGGGCGCCTAGTTCTGCATCCTTGGGTGCTAGCCACCTCTGAAGCTCTGCATGCGAGCATGCACTTTGACTAGGGAGTATTCAGCCGTTTGGGTTGCGTGCATGTCCAACTATTAGAGCTAGCCCACATAACTGAGATAGGCAGCCCTAGCTAGGTGCATGCAGCGCGTGGGTGCCCGCGAGTCAGAGCACGTGGGGAGCAGCACACTTGCTGCAACATACTGAAACAAGGTGAAATAAATTAAAATATACACTTGCAATATATATGTATAGCCATTGCAACATATACAACATTGAGATAAAACACTTACAACATACGTCTGAAACCGTTGAAATATTTAACATACACTTACAACATACTCATATAGCCACTGCAAACATATGCAGCATCCAGATAAAAATATGCAACATCCAGATGAAAGAGTTGAAATATTTGGAAGATACATTTGCAACATACGTGTATTGCCATTGCAACACATACAACATCTAGATAAAACACATGCAACATCCGGATGAAACATACATATGAAACAGAGTTCGATGCCCACGGTCGCCGGGAGCAGCAAATGGTGGATGCAGATGCGGGCCCTGTGCTCCTCTCATG